CCATCGGTGGTAGGGACGGCTCTGCTTTCCTGTCTTACTGGAGTTCGGGGTGAGGGTGACAGACCACAAACAGATCAGGTCTCCAAAGATGACTCAGGGAAGGAATAGGAAGATGGTGGCTGAAGGAATGGCGGGCTGTAAGATGTGGGTGTTGGCTGCATTTCTTAAAAAGTACCTTTTTCTGCAATTGTTGGATGGCCATGAACTTGGGACTTCCCCCTCTTACAGAAGGTGGCTTCTGAGCCCGAAAAAGTAGATGTCCACAGGAGTCTCTGTCCTGTCTTCTCCCTCTCCCATAGTAACTTGCCTGTCATCCGCAGCACCCCTGGGTCCCTTGTGGTGCGAGCGCCCCCTGTGGCTGAGGGCGGAAGAGTCTCTCCTGCCCCCAGTTCCTCAGGCCGGCTCAGGGGACAGAGCACACCGTCCACAGGAAGGTGCCCGTGGAGGCAGGACCTGCTGGGGAGGGGAAGGAGGCTCCAGCCTCAGACCTGGAAGATGGATGGGGTGAGATGGGAAGGGGGACTGCAACTGTGGGGACAGGCCACATGGAGTCCTGCACAGAGAGAGGGGATGGGGAGGCAGAGAGGCTGAGGACAGCAGAGAGTGAGTGGGCGAGCAGGGACTTTATGCAGAGATGGTGTGGGGAGAGATGAGTTCAGAGGGGTCACAACCAACAAGTGACCTGGCAGGACCTCTGAGTCAGGCTGCAGACTTGAACAGCACTGCTGGCACAGGTGTGCTGAGATCACCAAAGGCAGGGAGGGTCCCCAGCCCGAGGACAAGGTTCGGGTTGGGCTGGTGACCCGGGAAGGGCCACCTGAGAGAGGCGAGAAACCAGGGCTGATGCCGTCCAGCAGAGCTGAGACCTTGACCTGAAGGGTGGAGTTGTCAGTCTTTTTTTTTTTTTTTTTTGGTATTTTTTTTGCAGTACTGGAGTTTGAACTCAGGGCCTCTTGCTTGCTAGGCAGGCGCTGTACTGTTTGAGCCATGCCTCCAGCCTTTTTACTTATTTTTTAAACTTTTTCAATTTTATTTTATCGTTTTTACATTTACTTGCATGTGTATACATTCTCTGGCCACTCGCCCCCCACTCCACATACTTTAGATGGGGTCTCGTGCTTTTCCCCAGGTTGACCTCAAACCATGATCCTCCTACCTCATCTCCCAAGTAGCTGGGATTACAGGCATGAGCCACCACACTTGGCTCAAGTCTTGGGCTTTGGAGAAAAGAATGTGAAGACAAAGTTGGTTGGGTGGAGCTATGGGGGTGTCTGTGCCAGCAACTCTGTGTTTTCTCTCTGGTTGCAAGTGACAGAAGCACAGCTCAATCGAGCATACGGCACAAGAGGACTCCACCATCAGTCCACGTGACTGAAGTCTGGGGACTGCAAGGTGGGCAGTGGGTGGACGAGCAGAGACGTTGAGATCCCCAGGAAGGACACAGCAGAGCCGGCTGCCCCAGCCAGGCCTGGCGGGGCCCGGGGCCTCTGTGCCTCTCAGTCTGTCCGCAAGTGCAGAGGGACTTCTTGGTCAGCTCTATTTTAGCTCCTTTCTGGAACTTTTCTGCCTCTGGTATGACAGAATCTTGACTGAAAACCAGAATTAGTTTCTGCTCTGTTGGGTGCCACAAATATTTTCATCCCAGTTACTAACAGTTGCTTCCTGATTGGTTGTGAGTTTCAGAAAGAAGATTTTCCTCTCCTGAGAGATATGTGTGGGTCTTTGCCAAGCACCCCAAGGTTCCCACCGTGCTGAGAAAGGGCTCGGGGGGGCTTTGTCTGCTGGGTGCGGCATTCCTGGGGGAAGTCACGACCCGTGTGAGAGGTAAGGTAGGGTACCCGTGTCCTCAGCTGACAGGTGCTTGGGGGCTTCTGCTGTGGGTCAGATGTCCCACGAGCCTCAGGGGACACAGACCCTGCCTTTGTGGAACTTAAATGCTAGTGCAGAGAAAAGTACTTTATAAAATGCTGGACAAAAACAATTTCCAGTTGGAAACTGGGTAAGGGCTCTTGGACAGAAAGATTCCAGAGTCGGAGAGGATCTGATTTCGATTTAGGCACCAGGAAGGACCTCGCTGAGGAAGTGATATTTCAGCCAAGGCTGCATGCATGGGTAAGAGTGAGCCAAGTGAGGAGTGGGAGGAAGAGCAGCCTAGGTTCATGGAGCAGCCCGTGTGCATGAGGGTTCCAAGCCAGGAGCGGTGGTGGGCCTGGCACAGCCTGAGCCTGGTTGCAGGCTGCGGGGAGGCAGAGAGGCCAAGCCACAGGGCTGTGCCCATCCTGGGAGGCTCTTGGACTTTAGTTGGAGGAGCACAAAGGAGTTAACGCCAGGGCAGTGAGGGAAGTGAGGGTTCATGAAGGCTGCAGGCTGCACTGCAAGAGGCAAGAGGTCAGGAGAGACTGCGTCGTCTTCCCAGCGCAGAGGACAAGGCTCAGAGGAGCGGTGGCCGAGGAGGAAGGAGGGGAGAGGCAGGGTGAGAAGAGAAACAGACTGGGCCCAGGATCAAGGCCAGGGAAAGACCCAGGAGGCAATAGGAGGCAGGCGTCCTCAGGAGGTTTTGCAAGATCTTTTGTGCTCCGTGGGCCTCTCAGCAGCCGGGGAAATCTCAAATCCGGGGACTGCAAGACACCAAACAATATGGGCGTGCAGACGACAGGCTAGAGCATTTTGGAGCCCTGAGATCGTGCCAGAGAGCTTCGGTCTTACTCCCAAGAGCGTTTTTAGTTTTTTTTTCCCCAGTTCTATAGATCAAACCCAAGGTCCCAAGTGTGGTGGGTAAAAGCCCTCTGCCCTAGTCTTTTCTTTTATATTTTATTTTGGTGGTACTGGGGTTCGAACTCAGTGCCTCACGCTTGCTAGGCAGCCGCTTCTTCACTTGAGCCACTGCTCTGGGCGGTAATTTTCACCGTTTGCTGGACAGTGTGTATTCCACGCTGGGGTTCGTATAGGGCGTTGCCTTTGGTTTTCCCTGAGTTGTATTTCGCCTGCCCCGCGGTCTGCTCTGGACATGTGAAGTTTAGACTCAGCCAGGATCCAGGTTTTGGGGCTCCTTCTCGGCACAGCTTCCTTTTCTTTGGTTTCCTGCCACGTAGATCCCCAGGGGAGGAAGCCTCCGGAGCCCCGAGCTGCGGCCTCGGCCTCCACCTCCACCCGCTCACTTGTCTCTCTCCTCCTGGGGATCACATTGCATGTTTTGTCCAGTTTACAGCAGGAGGGTGACCTGGTACTGGTGACTTTGTCACAGCCAGAAGCAGAAATCCCATACTTGTAGGTTTACACTCACATTTTCATGCATCCCAAAGTGATGTGTTTCCCATGTATCTTAAACACTGACTTAAATGAGATGGAATTGTATTCTTGTATATCTTTTACACTGAGCTCTTCCTCCTTCCCTCCCTCCCTCCCTCCCTTCCTTCCTTCTTTCCTCCCTCCCTTCCTTCCTTCCTTCCTTCCTCCCTTCCTTCCTTTCTTTTCGGTGGTGCTGGGGATAGAACTCAGGACCTTGCATGTGCTCGCACGCACTCTACCACTGAGCCACCCCCCCTCACTACACTGAACGTATTTTAAAGGTCTGCCCACGTGGCTATTTTCACTGTCGCCTAACATATACTTGAGTGCTTCTGAGTGTCTGTTAGGTGCAAGACGCTGTTCTAGCTGCTGGGTGTCCAAGTCACACAAGGCAGAAAACGTCCTACTGTCGTGGAGCTGAGAGTGTGAGGGAGACATAATGAACAGAGCGCAGGTCGTCGATAAGTTCAGATGGCAGTGGTGCAATTAAGGAAAATGAGGTGGGGGGATGAGTGAGGCTGGGTGGTGTTGGGCAGGGTCTCAGAAGAGGTGAGGTTTGAGCAGAAGTCTGCCCTAAGTGAGAGTGTGGAGGTAGATGTGTAGGGAGAGAATTCCAGGATGGGATGCCATCTGAGAGTGTGTTGGGATCTCACGTGCTAGAAAGTTCTCCAGTTACATCTAGAGAACAGACATTGGAAGGTGGCAGGAGGCCACCGCAGTAATCCAGGCAGGAGATGCAAGAAGTGATTGTCTGGGGCCAGAAGTGTGACAACTGGTGCTATTTGGAAAGTAATTCAAAGGTGGAACCAGCAGAACCTTCTGGCTTTCCGATGGGGCAGGCCAGATGTGCTGACTCCCCAGCCTGCCTCTACCTCACTGCTGGGTCCCCAAGGGTCCGTCTGGATCCTCTCTTCCTGTTCCACTGCTCCTAGCACCTGTTCTTGTACTTATACCTGGAAGGTTTTTCTGTTTTGTTTTTTTGTGGAAGTAGGGTTTGAACTCAGGGCCTACGCCTTGAGCCAGTCCACTGTCCCTGTTTTTGTGAAGGGTTTTGGCGAGATAGGGTCTCGCAAACTGTTTGTCTGGGCTGGCTTTGACCCTCCTGATCTCTGCCTCCTGAGTAGCTGGGATTACAGGTGTGAGCCACGGGCGCCGGCTTGGAAGTTTTCGTACTTCCTAAAGCGTTTGATCTCTGGTAGGATAAGGCTGGCCAAGTGGAGGGCAGATTTGCTTTTTCTTTGGCGTTCTCTCTCGTTAAGCAACGGTCCTTAGCACAATAAGCTTAGAACAGCCCACCTGCCGCTCACCTGTCCATGGCTGACACGTGGAGGTCCCATGACTTTCCCCTCAAGTTCAGACACTTTTACTTTTGGCTGTCTCCTCCCCGCGCCCTGCCCTCTCTCACCTCCACTTTTGCCCTGGGACCTGTGGTGGGTGCTTGGTGCCTGGGCCGTAGTACCGATTCTGTTGGTTACTTGCCAGCCAGACCGCAGGGACAGGTCTGGTGGGGTCCGGGGCTTCCTGTTGCCTCCCCTGCACTTGAGACCTGGGTTCCAAAAATAAACTCACGAGAAACCACCGTGACCTCGGGGGCTCTGTGCTCAGGTGCACCGTGCTCCCTGGGGCCGTGCCTGGACCCTGCTCCCCGTCACAGCAAGGTGGGGCCACCGGAGCCCTGGGTCAAGTGCTGGCTGGCTGTCCCGCCCCTCCAGGCCGTCACCCGCAGGGCCAAGGTGGCTCCTGCTGAGAGGATGAGCAAGTTCCTGCGGCACTTCACCGTGGTAGGGGACGACTACCACGCCTGGAACATCAACTACAAGAAGTGGGAGAATGAGGAGGAGGAGGAGGAAGAGGAGCAGCCGCCAGCTGTGCCCGCGGCGGGCGAGGAGGGCAGCCCCGCGGATGCTGAGGCCAGCCCTGTCCCCACGCCCAGGCCCCCCCGTGACTTCAGGAGCACATTGAGGAAGCTCTTCAGCTCCCACAGGTTTCAGGTAGGTGGGGCCCCGGGAGGGAAGCCACAAGGCTGGCCGGGGTGGGACCCACCTCTGCCACTGCCACTTGTTCATCCCAGAGAGGTTGACTAAGTAGCTGCCACGTGCCTGGCGTTGCAGGGAAGCACTGGGTGTGCCATGGCAGATCTGTGTTGTCAGGGGAAAATATTCATAATCCAAAATTCAAAGTCCATCGGTGGTTGAATGGATAATCAAAATGTGGCCTATCCATTATCCACGCAATGGAATATTATTCAGCCAGGAAAAGGAACGAAGCACTGGCACATGCTACACCATGGGTGAACCTTGAAACGTGATGCTGAGTGAGAAAGACCAGACACAAAAGGTCACATACGGCGTGATTTCATTTATAGGAAATGTCCAGAATAGGCATGGATTGTGGTGGACATAGGCTGGAGGGAGGGAGGAACGGAGTGACTGCTCAATGACTATGGGTTTCCACTCAGGAGTGCTGATGGTCACCCCACTGAACTTTGTGCCAAATTAAAAATGTCTACAATGACAACTTTGTGTTATGCAAATTCCCCACCCCCAGACACACACAAAGTTAAAGGGTGACAATTGGAGGCAGACTGCATTCATTCTGTTCATTCACCGACATGGAGTGGCCAAGAGTGTCCCCTGCCTCGCAGGCGCTCGTGACCAAGTGAGGCTCAGGTCATCTTTGGACAGCGATGCTAAGAGTTTGTGCCTGGCTTTCGCCTTCCAGGTGTGGCTGGAAGAGCAGAGGGAGCTGGGCTTTGTGGGGTCACTGTCTGTCCCAGCATTTTGAAGGAGTTTCTGATTTTGAAGGACAGATGCAGTTGAGTGAATAAGTATGGTCCCTGAGGTGGCCCACATGGGGTCTGGAGCAGGTGAGACTGAGGGAGACCCTGTGATGTTGGGGAGCTCACAGCAACTTGTATGTCCAGTGCCACAGGGAGGCACTTGGGGGGCACTGCTGTAGGCACCCTCCCAAGGGCCCATGTCCCCTCTGCTTCTCCCATCACTGACTAAAACAGAAAAACAGAAAAACGCTTTTGGTCTTTTTCCTACTGTTGTGGTTTAAGAAATGAAACCAGGCAGGGAGCCAGCGCCCTCGTGGCCCCAGAGACAAAAGGGAACACGGCAGTAAATGTTGGGGTTGAAATCCCAAACCCTCAATTTCAGGATGAGGAGTGACCTCCTTCCAGCTGCACGGGAGCCTGGCCCTTGGTCTCAGTGTCCCCACCTCCTAAGATGAGCACTGGGCCACGTGGCCTGCCATGAACTGGGACCCGAGAGACAGGGACAAAGACGACTGTTGGAAAATGTTAGCTGTCCACCCTTGTGGCAGTCACTATACAGCAGCACCCCTGCCCGTCCTCCCTGAGGCCCGGGGGGGCATCACCTGGACACACGCTGCTGCACATGTCGGGGCGGCCACCTGGGGTGCAGGGATCATGGGTAAAGGCTTCAGGCTGAATAGTGTTTTCTGTAGTGCTGGGATTTGAACTCAGGGCCTCATGCTTGCTAGACAGGTGCTCTACCACTTGAGCCACGGGCCCAGCCCTTTCACTTTTTAGTTTATCAGATAGGGTATCTTGCTTTTGCCCACTGTTGGCATTGGACCACGACCCTCTCACCTCTGCCTCCGGGTAGCTGGGATTATAGGCATATAGGCCCAGCTTCAGATCTGTTTTTAATACCTCTGTGCCTTGCTCTTAGACCACATGAACTCTCTGATCCGCTGGCTCTAAAACAAAACCAAGGATTAAAACCAAAAAGGAACCACCGCAGGCTTGACTCTTTATTAAGCCTCTGCTTAACTGGGCTTCATATGAAAACGTGCAGAGCAATTGGCCACGTTGCCGTACACATCAGCAGCTGAGTTACCGACACAATTAACTACGGGTTGGAACGACCAGAAAGCTGAGCGGTCCCTCCTTGTAAGGGCTGAAGTTGTTGGATTTCACCTGTGTGGACATGGCAGAGTAATTTGCAGAGGTCAAACCCTACTGCTCTGAGAGCAGGAGGCAGGGATCTGAGCTTCCCAGAGAGGAGAGGGGTCGTGCATGGTCATTTGGAGCTCCTCCCTCTGCCATGTCCACTGCCGACATGGTGTCCTGAGCTGTCACCTCCCCCTCCCATTAGTCCTGTACAGCAGCACCCCCCACGCCATCCCTGACCACCCCTGACCTCAGGGAGACCAGCTCACTATGCTCTGCCCCCACCTGGCTTCCCTGCCAGCAGGTGACAAAGCCCCCAAGGTGACTTCTTCCTCATTAGCTCCTCTCAGCTCTCCAGGAGCCTTGGCCTCCTCCCCCTGGCTCCTGCCAGGCCCAGTGAGGGAGGCGGCGGGGGCGGGGGCGGGGGTGACCATGTGACATGCTGGGCAACAGCTGGTTTCTGTACAGTGGCATCACTGCCCCCCAGATCCCCGAAGAGTAGGCAGCCCTGGGGTCCCCTCCAAAACTCAGTGTCCTGAGGGGTGTGTGTTGACTGACTTGTCAAGCACCTAATCTGTGCATACCGGCCGCAGCAGCGATTCCCCAGAAATAGGAAAATGAAAAATTTTTTAAGTGATTTACTTTTTGCCATTTAGGAAGTGGCAGTTGGTTTGAGAGATGGTATTGGAGAAGCAGTGACAGAGTAAGGAAAAGACCAGTGGTGCTGTGGGCGGGGCCTGTGCCAGAGGGGCGGGATATGCTGGGCATTGCTGCTGGCGTCTTCGCCCAGGCCTCCCACAACGTTCTGTGCCAGCTCCCAAGGTCTCACGGCTTCGCGCCCCTCCCTGTGGCCCACAGGTCATCATCATCTGCCTGGTGGTCCTGGACGCCCTCCTCGTGCTGGCCGAGCTCATCCTGGACCTGAAGATCATCCAGCCCGACAAGAACAACTATGCGGCCCAGGTAGTGCACCGCCCCGCGCGGGGGCCGCCCATGGGGTCACTCGTTACCTTCACTGAGGGGGCAGAGTGGGGCCGACACCCACTGGAGCGGCAGGGTCTTCCCGGGGGGTCAAAGGCAGAGAAAACGTCTTCCATCCAAATTGTAGAGAAGTGTTTACGACAAGCAGGAAACGTTCACTCAGTGGCTGGCCCCAAAAGCCATGCCAGGCCTTTGAGCTGGATCACAAAGCTGGCTCTAGGGGAACCGTTTAATCAGGGCCAGGACTGATATTCCCATGCTGGGCAGGCATGTCCTTTGTGTCCCGTCTTTTGTGGTGGCCGATACGCTAATCCACCACTCAAGTTACTGAGGCACCCTGGCCCAGACATTTACCCAGGGGACTAAGGATGCACCAAGGGGCCACAGGAGGAGGTATGAGCCTCAGAGACATCTCCCCCCACCATGCACATTTTTTGAGGGAAATGGAGTTGCTAAGCAAGCCCTTGTCTTTTTGAGCAGTAAAAAGGGCAGAGGGAAATGGCAAACCCCCTCGTCACCTGTCTTCTGCTCACTGTCCAGGGGCAGCCCTGTTCCCTCGTCTACTCCTCCACCAGTCTGAGTCCACGTGGAACATGAAAGGATGAGTGTCTTTCCTCTCCTGCTGCCTTTGGTTTTTCTTCTTCTTGGGGTTTGAACTCAGGCCTACACCTTGAGTCACTCCACCAGCCCTTTTTGTGTAGGGTTTTTTCGAGATAGGGTCTCGAGAACTATTTGCCCTGGCTGGTTTCGAGCCACAATCCTCCTGATCTCTACCTCCTGAGTCACTAGGATTACAGGTGTGAGCCACCAGTGTCTGACTAACCCATTCTTTTTGATGTTCACATTGTCCCAACTTTGGTCACCGTGAGCCTCTTCCATCTGGGTGGTGTTGCCTTCAGAGATGACTTTGAGCATTTTCTTGGTTTCTGGCACCAGATACCCTTACTCACTCTGCAAGCTCACTTCCCCCACCCCCAGAACTGGAAATGGTTTTTTTTTTAAAATAATTTTTTATTAGGATATATTCGTTATACGTGGGGGGATTCATAGTGACAATTCCAATTAGGCTTATACTGTACATTGTTTAGATCATCTCATCCTCTCTCCCCCCAGCCCCCTCCCTGCCCCACTTAAAGCAGTTGCAAGAGGTTTCTTGGTTCTGTTTCATGTAAGTTCGTGAAGTCCATCCACCATATCCCCTCATCTTATGGAAGTGGTTTCTTTAGAGAGGGCGTGGTCCCCTCTTCGTCTTCCACCTCCCTTGGTGCTCATTACCAGGGGCTGTGTGTGGCTCTGTCCAGCCCTTGCCATGGCATGAAGGTGCCAGGGTTCACATGACGGTGCTTCTAGGGGACCCTGCAGTTGTCCGACAGTCCGCACAGTCTGGTCCTGCAGACAGAGCGCACACATTGCCGGTGTAGGTTTTGGGCGTGCTGGAGGCTTCAGTTCTGGCATCACCTAATTGCCCCCTGCAGGGCCAAAGCCTTGCTGTGGGGTCTGCAGCCGTTTCCAGCACCAAGGACAGCACCGAGTGCTGCCGGGGTCTCCCTGGTACCCAGGGTGGTCTGCCGGGGGCGTAGCGCATAGCAGGGTCCGCCTGTCACTCACTGTCACTGAGGCCATGTCTCCTCAGGTGTTCCACTACCTAGTATCGCCATTCTGGTGTTCTTCATGATGGAGGTCATCTCTAAGGTATTTGTCTTCCACCTGGAGTTCTTTGACCACAAGTTTGAGATCCTGGACGCTATAGTGGTGGTGGTCTCCTTCTTCCTCGACATCATCCTCGTGTTTCGGGAGCACGAGTTTGAGGCTCTCGGCCTGCTGATCCTGCTGCGGCTGTGGCGGGTGGCTCGAATCATCAATGGTATGTGTGTCCCATGTTCCTGAGCTATGGAGGGGACAGGAGCGCAGATGGGGGCTGGAGTGGGTGTGAGGATTGCTACTTGGACACCCAGGGGCCTGGGCTCACACACCTATGGTTTCCATCATGGCTGCTGCAGCACCCCCTCCTGAGTGCAGAGAAAGGTGAGGTGGTGAGGCTTGGCAGCCAGCCACTACCTGTGTGCCACAGTTTGTGACCAGGAGTGCTCTGAGGACTCCCTCCTGCCTCATTTCTGGAAAAGGTGAGGCATCCCTGAGGCTTCCTCAGAACACCTGTTTTAACTGCCGGTCTTGAGAGGATCCAGCCAATCAGGAGACGCCCTGCAGAAGGCACCAGCCGTGCTCCACAAGCACGTTGGCTCAGGCAGCTTCTGGGACTTTGTTTTCCGGATTGACTGTTTTGATGCTTTGGGGAAATCACAGCTATGAACTCACCCCAGACTCTGGCACTGGAAAGCATGCATGGGAAACCCTGCTTTCCCCTGAGGCTCAGGGTTGTTTCAGAGGAGCTGTACTTATGCTGATTTGCTGAGGACATGGTGACCACTAGCAGTCCAGCTGGCAGGGACCTAGTCAGTTTTCCCAATATTCTACGGCCAAAATTCGGGGTGAGCACAGGCCTGGGGTGTCTCTGAAGCCCTCCTAGGTGGCCTGGCTGGCCAGCAGGTTTGGGGTTTGGAAATCCTGCTGACTATGGAAGCCAGTCATGAGTGAGTTTGCAGACAGTGATGACAATAAAGCCGTATGGAACGGTCCTTTAGAGTCAGCCAGGGAAGACAGGAAGCTTTTTGCTCTTGCTGGACAGGCTTCTGCTCATGGGACCAAGAGCACAGCTGGCCTGGCATGCGCTTTCTGCCCCATGTCACCCACCAGTGCTACTGGTCTGAGCAGGTTCAGGGTTAAGGAGCTCGTGCTCATCCTGACTCCTCTAAGGATTTCCCAGCCCAGGTCTGCTGCTCAGGGATGACAGTCTCCCTTGTCAGTCCCCTCTCTTCTCAAGTACAGACTCTTGTTTTAGAAGCCAGTATGATCAAGGCCCTCTGCCATCTTTTAGGGATAATTATCTCAGTTAAGACGCGTTCAGAACGGCATCTCCTAAGGTTAAAACAGATGAACATTCAACTGGCCGCCAAGATCCAGCACCTCGAATTCAGCTGCTCCGAGAAGGTAAGGCACACTGGGGACAGTGCTTGTTTGCAGCAGTCCCCACCTTCAGCACAGTGCTTCCCATATTCCTGGGGTGTCTTAGCCTGGATCCCCCTTCCCTGGGCCAACGCTCCTCATCCTTCTAGCTTGAGTGTCCCCCTCCTGGAGCCCTGACCACCGCCCCCAAAGTTGTGCCAGGTCCCCTGCCTGAAGAACAGTCTCTGGCAGCCTGAATTCCAAGAGTGTAGCTCTTAGCCTCTGTGTCTCTGGGGTTCACTCAATGACTCCTGCGTGCCTGCAAAGGCTCAGCATTCAGTCTTTGCTTTTGTGACAGGAACAAGAAATTGAGAGGCTCAGCAAGCTGCTGAGACAGCACGGACTTCTTGGTGAGGAGAGCTAGACGCTGACAGCTCCACCAAGAAGACTCTCCCTGCCCGGTCTGTGCCTTGGGGTGAGAGGTTTGGTGCAACGCCTTTGCCTTGCCCCCCACCACCCCTTATCTGGGGGACACCGCCTTTCAGTAACTGTTTCTTCCTTGGTTTGGCTGGGAGATGCCCAGCTCACTCCCCACCTCACCCTGTATACTCTTGCTCAAAAATGACCAATGAAGCTGGACAAGTACTAGTTGTATATAAAATTTAACCTCAGCAAATATAGTTTTGAAATTTCACGTGGGTGGTGGACCAGCGCAGCCTTTCACAGGAGCATTCTGAAAGAAAAAGAAAAGCAGATACTTTAGCTACCAGCCCGTTCTAGAAAAGTCTTTATTTCCACGCTGTTCTACATCCCCCAGGGAGGTTGTTCCAGTTCCCAGGCCCCTCCTCTGCGGTATCCAGCTGCACCAGCTAACTTCTAGCTGGCTCCGCCTACTTCTGCCACCTGACAACATTTTTCTCAATTACTGTGCAATTAATGTATAAGATGAACGCTCTTCTTCCCTTGGGCCCTCCCGCCACATCCTTTCCTTGCTGGCATCCCACACCAGCCCAGCAGTTGAGTGCCAGCTCGCTGCAGGGCCAGTGAAGAAATGGCAATTACAAGGCTGGCCTGTAATTAACATGAGCTTGGGGGAGAATCCCTCGTGAGACTTTGTATTCTACTTATACCGTTTTATATGATATTTTGCTATTTTTGTACTTCAAGGGGACTTGAAAGAAAACCTGAGCTAGAAACAATGAACACTTCTAAAATAACTCCCATTACAGCGGGATGGATAAACCGGATAGGCCCTCTGCCCATGCTACTTCAAGCTCTGTCCTTTCTGCTACCTCCCCAAAGACAATCTGGTTTCCACCCATGACCTAGGGCTTCACAGTGCTGGGAACAACTAGTTCCAAAACCAAACCAAGCAGACTGAAATATCCATGAGGAGAAAAGAGTCAGAGCGGAGAGGGCAGAGGGCTGGTTTGGGGCAACACCCAGGGGTGGGAGAAAGGTGACGAGTGGGATGTCTCTGAGGGACCCATGGCCCCACGTGCCTGCTGCTCCAGAGGTGAAGCCCTTCAGGCCCGGTGTGCTTTCCTTCGGTGACTACTTACATTACACAAACGGGAAGAAAAAGTTGAGGGGCAGCTTGGCATTGATGGTGGGTGGTGCTCTGAAACCAGCCTCCGCAGGTGCAGACACGTCCACAAATGTGACTGCGGTGGAGATGACAATCGTCCTGTCCTTGCCTGAGCGGGTCTGTAATAAAGTCAGAGCCACAGGCCCCCCCTCTAGTGAGTCAGGGCGCAGACAGGACTGCTTTCCCCGTCCGTGCTCACCCGCTGTCAGGCCATGAGTCTCATACGTGTGGGAGGTGACTGCCAAGACTACCCAAGGTGCACATGACTCACTGTTCATAAGAATTGGAAAGGTCAAACTGAAACAGGCATTCCGATGCAAGTAAAACCTTTGTGAGTTTTTTCCCTTTGAGTAAAAGAGTGACTGCGAAATTGTTTTAAGAGTCCAAGTTGGTTAGAGAATAATTTTTTTAACCAAGTAATAAATTTTATCTGTCACACTTGAGTTTGGTCTGGACTTCTATCTTAACCTATACTTTATTTTTTTGTGGTCTTGGGGTTTGAACTCAGGGCTTCGCACTTGCTAGGCAGGGTGCCCTTCCACTTGAGCCACTCTACCAGTCCTATTTTATTTTATTTGTGTGTGGGGCTGAGGTGGAGCCCAGGGCCTCCAGCATGTGTAGTCCTCGCTCTACATGAACCTCACCCAGTCTGTATCGGTGCACTAGTCACCTACCTCAGGAAGCGAGGATATGAAATTTGCAGTGACATTTACTATTTTGGCCTGGGGGTTCAGCAGGGACCCGTACTTCGTCCACTTCACCTCGATAACCAAAGCCTACAGGGAGCTGGCAAGAACCCTGCAAAACAAAAATGCCATTAATCAACGTATTATACAGCCTTAAGCCATACTTAATCTGCAGTGTGGAGTTTTAATTATAAAATGTTTCACATATTACAAAATGTTCTAAGCAAGAGGATGAACAGACTGCAGAAGTTCAGATAAAAACAGCCTTGGCAAAGCACATATTATTAAAGCACTCAGTGCTCCAAGAATACTGTGCTACCTACTGTGATTTTTCCATCCCCTCCTATTTCTATAGAAGCTACCATCACCAGGGAGTTGTGGCAGTCCCACCACCCAGCTGTGCAACCTCAGGGCCTTCACAGCTCTGATCTTCTCTGCCTGCCCATGTCAGAGATGTTCAGGAAACTGGCTGGAGGGAGCACAGGGGAGACAGAGGAATTTCACAGACAAATTGAACTTGGCTGGGCACTGGTGGGTCACACCTGTAATTCTAGTTTATTTGGGAGGCTGAGATTGGGAGGTTCGAAGCCAGCCCAGGCAAATAGTTCAGGAGACCCCATCCTCAAAGTAACCAGAGCAAAATGGACTGGAGGTGTGACTCATGAGGGAGCTCCTGCTTTGCAAGCGCAAAGCCCTGAGTTCAAATCCCAGCCCCACCCCCCCAAAAAAATTGAACCTGCTTGCACCTGATGTTAACATGCGCTGGGAGGAAATGCAAGTGCGCTTTCATTGAGCTCATCTCATCAACTATCAGCTACGATTCACACTGGGTGTGCACGCAGTGTCCATATGCTGTCAGATACGAATGCTGTCATTTGCCCTGACTGTGGGCTGGACGCTGTCTTCACCCCAGGCCCTTTGCTTGGTCAACCCTAAGGAAAACTAGGCAGTGGGACTTCCAGTCCTTGTCCGGTCTTTAGAATCTGCTCAGTTGGCACGTGTGGCAGCTGTGGAGACAGCGTGACAATGTGGGGACCACACTGTACTATAGCACTTTCCTGTAGGCTTGGCATTTTTCTACAATAAGAACATTTTTCTGGGTTGGGGTGTAGCTCAGTTGTAGACCATTTGCCTAGTATGCATAAGGCTCTGGGTTTGAGCCCCAGCACTGGGGGGGAATAAACTTTTCTTCTAAATACATCTCTAGGGGCACGAAAAGCTGAAAAAAAGCCAATAGGCCTAAATGCTGTGCCTGCCATGGAAGTGGAACAGTCTTGGAATATCCCAGGGCCAGGTGACAGTGCAGGTGCAGCGGCTCCAAGCTTCCTGCATGGTGGGCCTGAGCCCAGGCCAGCACAGCAGGCACAGCCTTCCCTCTGGAGCAGTGCTAATGTGTCCTCACCCAGAGTCACTCACAGGGCTCATGGCACAGTGATGAAGAAGGGCTGAGGGCCCAGGCAGGGACTGGCGGGAGGCTGTGCAGAACTGGTGCTGCCTCCTCACCAGTGGCCAGGCTATAAATACCCCACGTGGATAATGAGAGAAACTGGGCAATTAGCGGTAAGACGGGAGCACGCCTCCATTACGAACAGCCCCACTTGACTGTTAAGACAAAAGAAAGAGTGGGCGGACGAGTCACATATGACTGGGAACTATTTATGGGATGTCACCTTCCATTACACTCTGGGGAACTTTGGAACTGAAAGTGTTCACGTGTGCGCTGCCTTACAGATCCTTTCATGGGGAGAACACCTCCATCTCTGCCCAGAATGCCTGGGGAGGGCCACCAGCACTCACAGACAGTGGTGCATGGGACCTGAGTGGTTTGGATTTTGGATGTTTCAGATTTGGGAGTGTCTGCATAGACAGAGAACTTGGGCATGGAAATTCACCCGTTGTTGCCCAGTGATATACAACCCAGCGATAGTGTCTATGGTATTTTTAGCGTGCCTACATTTTGACTCAGCCATCCCATGAGGCCAGGTGTGGAATTTTCCACCTGTGGTGTCACATCGGCACTCAAGAAGTTTCAGGAGGGCTGGGGGTATGGCTCAAGTGGTAGAATGCTTGTTTAGCAAGCATGAGGCCCTGAGTTCAAACCTCAGTACGACTAAAAATAAGAAAAAAGTTTCAGAGTTTGGAGCATTTTGGATTAGGGTCAGTCAACCTGTACTAATAGGACAGGGGTCAGTAGCTCTTCTTTCCCATCTGTGGAGTGGCCACGGCGTACCTGCCAAGGTACCGCATGACAGGCCCATGAGGTCAGCACGTCATCCCTGCTTCACAGAGAAGGAAGCAGAGGCTCATGCCATAGAACTGCTGGCCAAGGGTGACACTGCTAACAAGGGGCAGAGGCAGCTTTCAAGACTCAGGCCGATCTGACCACAAAGCCCACGCACCATCCAGCTCCTTCTCAGGTGAGTCCCCAGCTGCCTCTGTCACTCTCCAGCTCCTCTGTCACCTGCTTGGATGCAGAAGAGACCACGACACGAACCATTCTCCCCTTTACCTTCATGTTGGATGACTGACTGACAATGTGGACAGGGACCCAGTCCAGCAGGTCCTGCGGTCGGGAATTTCCAAATGGGGCCACGTAGTCTGGGAAGCCCTGGCCCTTCAGCAGGTCCCTCACCTTCTGCGCAGCCAGCTGACATGAGATAGCACTGGTCAGTCTTTGGAGGGAAAAAAAGGCCAACAGAGGCAGTCAGCTGAAGGCCTTCACGCCATGCCTGCCTGTCCACGCTCACCATTGCCAGCCTCACTTGACCACAGCTGAAGTGACCCTAACTTTGGGGAATCCTGGCCACAATTTAAGTCAAACTGCGTTCCACTGAGGCTCTCCCTGCACAAGGGTGCCATGGTTGAAATTTGGGGAAACACTACCTGTCCACTGCCCATGCCATCTGAAGCCCTCTGGCACTTTAAAGGCTCTGAGAAGTCCTATGGGAAGGATCATGGCTTTAACTATAACTGCTCATTTCTCAAACATAGTGGGCCACAGAGCTACGCCTCCTGACGTCCTGTGGAAATGTATTCAAGGAAATCCCCTTTATAAAGGCTGGCTAGGGCATGTGAGGATCTGAGTTCAAACCCCAGTACTCCAAAAACAGACAACGAAAAGCCGGTCTAAGGAAATGAGAGTAATGCAAACAGTAAACATTGGTCTAACCAAAATGACAAAGTTACCCTGAGGAGACGTGGGAAGTGTGTGTGGGAAACAGTCAAGCATTCTTCCAGAGTGGGAACTCAGTAACAACAGCAACAAAAAAACCTCATAAAACCCCAAAACCAAGAACTATCATTTAAACACTTGGAGGTAGACGTGAGCGGGACTGCCAGGGGATGGGGCCAACGAGGGCGAGAACTGCTGGTTTTCCATGCTGTGCAGAGTTACTCGACATTATGTCCCTGTCTGATAATGAAAAGATAAAAACAGACCGCCCTCAGCTCCCTTTCACTGGTCTTTTGCTGTGTAAATTAAAATTCGGAACTATTGGAAGGCCTTTGAGGGGAACTCCTTATTCTTGCTTAGAACTTAAGTGCTATGCAACCTTAAACATGAAACACACAGCTTTGATTTTTAGTCCTCCATGTCTGGCAACAAAAACGGTTGTGATCGTTTTGCTGCATGGATTAACAGCAATTTTCCAAACAATGTAGCTCTTGCGGGCTCCTTGGCGGAGGCAGAGGTTGGCCAACTGGGGGAGGGTGGGGGGAGGGTGGAACGCTTACTTTTCTGGTCCATGCAAACAAGTCCCAGGAGAACCAAGTTACTCTCACCTCAGCTGACAAGCAGACAGGACATTGTAACCAAACAACACCGGGGTCCGGAGCCCCACGCTTGCTAAACAGTCTTGCTCAGTCGTGCTACGAAGAACAGTAAGTTGCCCATATCTATTCAGGGTGTGAGTGATCCCCGACATTCACAGACAGTTAAGGCACAATCACCCAGCGCTAGAGCAGTCCAATGCTCCAGTAAGATGGTGTCACTGTGTGACATGATACATGAGTGAAACCCAAATCCCCCTTCTCTGGGCCTCTGGCTAATTTCCCAGGAGAAGCACTAACTGTTCTGTTTTCCTTGATTGGTTTGTTCTCAGAAGAAAAAGCCTCAGAACCTGGCCTTCTAAATTGAGTCCAAATTTTTGAAATCACTGTTTGTTTGGGAGTCTCCATTTAAATGTGAGATTGAATGCATCAAATAAGTCTTTCTGTCTTAAGATTTCTGCTTTAAAACACTGGCATTTCCTCAGACCACACCATTCCCCCAAGTGCCCGACCTCCCATGGGCAGCCCAGAACCCCCCTCCACCACACACACATAAGTGGAGAATCAACTTCTCTACAGAATCAAAAAGGATATCCCTTCTGAGGCTGGAACCCTGCCACTAACGGGAGGCCCACGACATAACCAGGGTTTCCACTGAGAGGAACTGGTTTTGTGTTTTGCTGAAAGACAATGCAGAAATGCCCCAAGATTATGCTCATTTTAATAAGGAAATGACAGGGAGAAAACAAAATGTTTTTATAATCAAATCTGGAATTACCAACCAATAAAAGAATTTCTCCCCCTACTCAGAACTATAAATACATCATCTGAGTGTGGGAGTACACCATGCTGTAAAAGAACAAGTGACACGAAAGGGAGTCTTATCACAAGGCCTGTGTTGGCTTCATCTCGAACCCCACATGCCACACGCAGGCCTCTGTCAGTATAAAGGGCCAGAAATGGTAACACGTCCAAATTAATTTTGTCTTACTAAGAAGTTACGATTTCTTTTTAACTTTGAAGTTAAACACTTGAGCAAAACTGGTCAAACTCACCTGGATAAAGCGAATTTCAAACTTTTGCTGCAGGGCAGCCACTGTGCTGCGGACTGTCCCTAGTAGAAACGAGACACCTGCTTCCAATATTTTACCTCTGTCTGTGTATGTGAGGCTGTACTTTACCTAAAACAAAATGATGCTTCAAATATACCTGTCCCCACTGACGTGTTAACAAAAGCTGTATTAACAACTCAAACAAAATATCCACAAAGTAGCCAATCCTTTCCCGTTTCTGGCAACCTTTCCCTGCTGTCTGTCATATTACAACAGTGTCCCTCAGCCTCACCCCAGGGGATGGGGTCCTTTGAGCCTCTTGTGCCCAGCTACATAAACAAGTTTCAAGTCAGCTGCCTCACGCGGAACACCTTTGCTCATCTCTGCGAGGGACTGTGTCCACGAAGACATGATGGCACAACAGGGAGGTTCTGCGGCACCCTTGCAGGCCGCAAGGTTTGCGGAGACGTCAGACAGCATACAGGCAAGTGCATGTCAGGCCAGGTCCCGGTGCAGGGCATCCCATCACCCCACAGGTCAAGCGGCTAGAGCCTGCCATAGGCAGGCAGAGCTGGCAGAGCCAAGCTGGGTGCCCACCTGGAGAACGACATTAGTGCAGGTTTTGTCCTCCCCGGCACCAATGAGAGCTGGCTGCAGCACACCAGTGGACTCCAGCCGGGTCAGCGTTTTATTTAAGGACTGAATGGTGATGGACTGAACGGTGATGGGGACCTGTGAAGTAAGATAATCCGGGTCATCAGACACTGTGCTCTCCAACAGAGGGGACCCAGTTAGATTAACAAAGTCCTCAAACACACCTGCGCTGCCCGTGAGGAAGCATACTTCTGCACGCTGTGTGTACTACTGTCACACACTCACAAACGACATATAAACATACATGCAAAGAACACACTAGAGACGGGCAGAACCAAACTTTAAAGTAGTTTCCTCTGCAGACATGCTCACACAAAAACTTGTAAGTGAACTGGCTTAGCCTACTTCTAACAGACTGAAACAAAGGAATGTCTGGTAGATGGGTAAATACAGTGTGTCCGTCTGTCCACACAAAGGCTCCAGTGGTAGAATGCCTGCCTGGCCTTAGCTTCCATCCCCAGCGCCACAAAAAATGAAAACAAACTGGAAAAAGTGAGGCGCTCCGACAATCTGAAGTGTGACCCCAGGACTCACCCATTAGGAAGTAAGTCCCTGTTTCACACTGCTTGCTTTCTGGCAAACTTCCCTGTGACTGGCAGTAAGATACCTGTCACCAAGCCTGTATTCATCTCATGGGACTCAGAAATAAAAGTGTATCATAAACTAACTTTCCATTAACAAAATGAAGAGAAATACTTTTACCTGTGTTGCTGAATTAGGTACCTAAACGAAAAGAAACCACAAGGAATTTTGTTACATACAACAAAGAGATGCATTTTCACAGTTTTGTCAGACTCTGGCTAAAGGTCAAGTTCATCCTATTACAGATTGCACAGAGGACAGCACAACTTCTGTACTCAAACTTGCCATCTACACATCTGTGTCTATATCATAACCACGGCATTTTCCTTCTTCCTCTATTTCCTTACAGCTGCCAGCACAACAGGCCAGCTCATTAAGCCAGTCTCGAGGTCTCCAGGCTTCTGGTCATAATTCCGTACTGACACATGGCTATCACTGCCCTCACACTGGAAGAGGGGAGTCCCTGCCCTCCTGGCCACTCTCTCTGCACTGGTCCTCACTAGAAGGCCTCAGCCTCCCCACTGATCTCCTGCCATCCCCAGTCCAATGGCCAGTTCCTGCCTCCCCAGTGCAAGGGATTTCAGAGTTTCCTTCTGAAGGGCATGCTCTCTCTCCATCTCCTGGCCCATTTCCCTCAGCCTCATCACCAGACACCCTATAGGGCTCCAAGCAGCTTTGAGAAGGGGAAAAGAGAGACAGGTTTTGGGAAGCCTATGCTGGGAAAGCACTTTACCCGGATGCCAGAGGGACTTCAGGACAACTGAGAAGTCAACCAGAAGAACTCACAGGCCTAAAGGGCCTCTTACAGTTAGAGAGGGGGAGGGCAAGGCGGGGAGAGGAAAACATTAAACTTCATTCTGGACACAGAAGCCTGGAAGAGTAATGGGGCTATAACTGCCCTACTCCTGTAGCCCTAAAACAGAAAATCGGGAGGGGTCTTGGACAAAAAGCATATGGCTTTTCATCACCCATCACCTCTTAACCCTGCCCCAGCAATACTACTTCCTGTCCTTCCCCAACTTTCCAGCTCATCTGCCAGCCAAGGAAGGGGATCTTCTCTTGCCTGGTCTGTTTCTGAGAGCTCTTTGGGGGCTTGATACGGTATGTCTGTCACAGACATTGATATTTTTATGATTTTTACAGTTGTTAGTTATTAGAAAAGATTTTGTCTTATTCAGGAGACAGACATTATTGGTTACTGTCAAAAATGATGAAAGGAAAATATGATCTAACTATGTAAAAATTAAAATTATTTAAAGGATTGTTTCAATAATTATTGATACAAAAATACTAGAAAGGAGAAATTTAAGCTTCAATGTCAATCATGTATTGAAATTATTCTGTACTTGTCATATTTTAAAAGGATACAAAGAACAGAAAATATACCTAATGAATCCATTCCACTTAAAATAACTCTTACCCTCAAAATTGTAGGGCTGCTATAATAAGCCATGCTAAGGGCTTCAATTTCTTCACACTGTTCTAAATGCATCCTTCTGGTGCACTTGACAGCCTGGTTCACCAGAAATGCTGGAAATCATAACATTCCCAAGGGAAAAAAATAGAGAAGAGAAGAAAATTTTCAACTGTCCAATGGTAACCAAAAAAACAAAAGGTAATCTAGGCAAAGCTGCAAAATAAGTTACAACACAGAAATGCAGTATGTTTAAAACAGGGCTTTAAAACTACATCTCAACTAGGTAACACATACAAAAAAAGCTCAAAAGGCACAAGAAGACATTAAGCAAAGTCTTCCTCCAACTCCTGCCCTGCCCCCCAACCCCCTTCCCCAGAGGCACCAGCATGAAGTTGCTGGTGTATCTTCTGGAAACAGTCTATGCAAATAAAATACTGCGTAAAATTTTTGCAATTATTTTTCCCCTTTTGGAAACAAATGCATGATATACTATTCTGCCCATCGTTTTTTCCACTGACCAATGAAGATCGGTTCGTCTCTGTACACTCTCTGTCCCTCTCTTAGGGACGGTCAGCATTATACCGCAAAGGGGACAAAACTACTGTGGCCGTTTCCTAGTTAATGGACATGGGTCATCTCTGCCTTTGCTATCTGAACAATACTGCGACATGTTACTTTGCACGTGGGCCAGTGTTTCTGCAGGATCAATTCCTCCAAGGGCACATCTGGTGGTTATTTCGACACATATGCTGAATTGCCCTTCACAGGGTTGGGCTCGAAGCACAGTCCAGCAGCTACATAGGACAGTGCCTGGCTTCCCACAGCTGCATGCTTTTTGAGCAGGTGGAAGTTGCTTCTCAGTCTGGCTTCCATCTGCACTATTCCTAGTGTGTGCATGGTGAAGCGGCTTCTCCACAGAGCACTCCTCCCTGTTGTCCTTCACAACAAGGCTCACTGGAGGATCAGCAAGCCAAGCCTGTAGCCTTCCGCTGCCTGGGCGGCTGGCACTCCACCACCAGCCACCACATGAGCGAGCCCAAGCAAGGGACTGTATGCAGCCAGGTGTGGTGGTGGCATGCCTGTCATCCCAGTGCCTGGGAAGCTGCGGCAGGAAGATTAAGAGTTCAAGGTCAGCCTGGGCTACTTAGCAACACCCTGTCTCAAAAAAGAAGCTATGGCTCTCCATTTCCTTATCTAAACACGCTACTAGCCTGACCTTGGATCACTATGAAGTGCTTAATAAAGCAGATTTATTAAGCATGAGCTTTAGAACTGCCCAACACCTGAGTGGGCTGTTTTCAGGTGGTGAACCACCCATCACTACCCCTATGTCACAGGTAAGAGTCCTGCACTGGGTGGGAAACCAAACTTCACAACCTTTAAGGCCTCTTTCAACCCCAAACCCTGGTTCCAGTTATGAAGCCTATTTAACTATGACTATTGTAAATGTATCTTTTTTTTCTGTACTGGAGCTTGAACTCAGGGCCTACACTTGAGCCACTCCACCAGCCCTTTTTGTGATAGGTTTTTTTCGAGATAGGGTCTCATGAACTATTTTTCCCGGACTGGCTTCCAACTGTGATCTCCTGATCTCTGCCTCCTGAGTAGCAAGGATTACAGGCGTGAGCCGCTGGCACCCAGTATGTAAATGTAAACTACTAACAGCAAAGCCATTTACAGAGAGAGGAACAATGGCCACTCTTACCTGCAGGGTTATTATCAGAGCACAGCGATGATGCGAGGGGCGAAGGAAGTCTCAGAAATGAGTTTGAAGATGCACTTGAAGTCTGCACAGGGACCCCATACTGCAAACACGACACCAACGGTGGTTATGGGTTATTCAAGCATTCATGCAACATGGTGCCACGGCACTGCAGATGTGGGGGACACAGGGTTCTCACTATGTTGCCCAAGCTGGTCTTGATCTCCTGGGCTCAGGTGACCCTCCCACCTCAGCCTCCTGAGTGTTAGGATTAAAGGTGCAAGCAACAGTGCCAACTTCATCGTTTCAAAAGGATGTGTGCATCTGCGTGCGCACATTACTATACTGTAGCTTTTTAATTATGGGGTTCCTCTGGAAGGGCATACGAGAAGCTGACATAGCGTCTGTCTCTGCAGACTGGAATTGATGGCTAGGCACAGGGATGAGCAAATTATTTTTCACTAGTATTCATTATTTAAATAACAGTTATGACATTAAAATCCTTTCAGAATTTTTAATGAATCAATTTTATGATACGATGCCTTTTTTTCCCCAAACCAAACATCTCACAAAATTCTTCTCCAATACTCAACCCAGATTTATAGCTATTGGGCATATAGATCATTTTCTTGAATTTGCAAATTTACCCAAATGCCTTGGTGTCAGTGAGGATACAAGAAAACAAGCCCCATCCACTGCAGCTGGAAGAATAAACTACTGCAGGCCTGTTGGATGACAACCTGCTCTTTAACCTGAAGACACGTCACTCAATTGACCAAGCTAACCCATTTGTAGAACACATCATAAGGACTTAACCAGGTAAGCGTACGAAGACACACATATATGCGAATGCTCGTCGCAGATTACCTACAATAGCAAAAACTAGAAACAGATGTCTGGTAAGAGTAGAATGGCTGGGCATGTGGCTCAGTGGAAGAGTATCTGCCTAGGATGAGAAAGGCCCTGGGTTCAAGTCCAGCACTGCTCAAATACACATAGAAAGGAATACTTTGCAAATGCTGCTTTCCTGTGCCCAAGTTTTTCTCATCAGGTAAATGCAACGTTGATGTGTCCTCCCAGGTTGGATAAGGTGATGTCTGAAAAGTTCTGCACAGTGCCTGTCACATGGAAAATGCTCAAGAAACAGTAACTTATATGTGACATGGGAAGATGCACAAGAATTTACTGCTGACAAAAGAATTTTCTAGTCTGGAGCCTTTGGCTGACGCCTATAATCCAAGCTACTTGGGAGGCAGAGATCAGGAGGATCATGGTTTGAAGCCAGCCCAGGCAAACAGTTATTGAGACACTATCTTGAAAAAACCTAATAGATAGTAGGGCTGGTGGAGTGGTTCAAGTGGTAGGGTGCCTGCTTTCAAGTGTGAGGCCCTCAGTTCAAACCCCAGTACCACTGGAAAAAAAAAAAAAAGAATCAGGAAGGGTCACAGTGATTTGCATTTGCATGTGGATTTTTTTCCCAGTACTAGAGACTGAACCCAGAACATTGGCCATGTAAAGCATATGTTCTAAAAAAAGGGGGGAAGTGGCCCAGGGGTACACTGCTTCCCTAGTATGTGCAAGAACCTGGGTTCTATCCCCAGCACTGAAGAAAAAAAAAAAAAAGCACACACTGTAACCACTGAGCTGCACCTTCACACCCTAAAGGGTAGATCTCAATGGAGTTGGTCTGCCTCGTGGGCCTTTCAATTTTTACCTATGTAACTCTATACTTTTAGAACTAGTACATGTTGCCTTTATCCGTTCCTTCTTAAAAGATGTTTTTGAAAAGTTCAAGTTTATTCAATGTCACATTTTAAAGGTTTACTAATGAATAGATACAAAATAGCACAATCTTCCCAAAGTCTATAATCCTAAACACAGTTTTAAGGCGAGGAGAGCCTTCCAACCAATCCCCTCCATTGCCCAGCAGCAGGCCTCAATCATTTTGTTGAATCTTTTTAGGTTGGGAAAAATAGAGATTTCTGCAGAGACAAAATGCCAGCTTACCACAGAAGAAATCACCTTTAATACATGTTCAGAATTTAAATATTCATTTTAATTTTTGTGATCTATGTTCGGAATTTAACTACTCAGTTTTTATTCTTTTTTTTTTTTTGGTGCTGGGGTCTCAGGGCCTACACCTTGAGCCACTCCACCAGCTTTTTTGTAATGGGTTTTTTCCAAGATAGATTCTTGAGAACTATTTGTCCAAGCTGGCTTTGAACCTTGATCCTCCTGATCTTTGTCTCCTGAGTAGCTAAGATTACAGGCTTAACTGTTCAGTTTTATTTTTCGTCATCTATGGTCAGAATTTAAATACTGTTTTAATTTTCATAATCTTTGACTTTGAAACAGAAGCATTAATTTTTTTCAGCTTATGAAATCAATTCTACGTCGCAAGGAAGTCAGTTTCACTGGTGATATATTAGAAATTAACTTACAGGGAAGGTGTCTGTCCATGCTGAGTAGACACACAATGGAGTCCTTGCCTCACCTTATATTTAGCAGCACCAGAAGCACCCGAGTTGGTTGTGGAAGAAGCATCTGATTCTGCATTCAGTGTAAAACCACCAGATGTTTTCATGAATCTATCAAAAGTGTTTTCATCAGGCACTTCTGGATTAACAAATGATAATGCAGGTTTATCTGTTTTTAGAAAAAGTATTTTTAAATCAGCATAATCAAATGCCTATTATATACCATATTATATATGACATCTACAATTTTTTGGAAATTATGGCATTAAGACTAGCATTAAATATCCTTATGCATATTTACTTCTCCCAGAATTTCTTTTTTTTTTTTTTTTACAGTGTCAGAGTCCTGATCCCAGGATTTCTTGAGGCTTGTTAAATGAACAGGATTCCTAGGTTCAACCTGCTTCTAGCAGTGAGAACTGGTGGTTTCTGGGGCCTGCAGGAAATAGGTGAGCCGAGAAAAACCATCACTTTTTCCAGAGACTACAAGTTGCTGCACCAACCTTGGAGGAAGCTCTCTCCAGGTGGCTGAGCGAACCAGAGACTCTCCTACTGTCACACAGCATATGAAGGGAAAGAAGGAGGGAATGGGTTGTCGTGTTCATTGGTTGGTATTATGGCAGAAAACGTGACAGTCACTGGTCAGTTGTCACTGGTAATTTGTCACAGATAACAAATCACACCACATTCACCTAAGTTTTTAATCACAAGCAAATAAGACCAAAATGTATAAAGACATGGCAAAAAGATTAAGTTTAACTGATAAAACCATAAATTTGTCTCTGATTTTGGTATCTTGAGAATTTCACACTCACGTGTACTTTGGACCAAGACACTTACTTGAGCTAAATGTTCAGATAAAAATAAAGATCCTGTTTTCATGCAAATATCCTTAGCAAAAATAAAAGAAAAAAAGGAAATAGAAACCACAGGTGATGTTTAAAGCTGAACTTGACCTTCAACCATTACACCAGGAGGAAATTAAAAAAAAAAACAAAACATGTACATATGTAAATCTGGGCTCCTACGTGTATTACTTAGTAGAAATACTTTTAAAATAAAGTGCTAAGAATTCAAAAGCAAGCACAATTTCTTTTAAAGAAAAAGTATATGCCACAGGTAGCTTATAGCTACTTTTAGCTACCTGTAAAATGACCTCAGGAGATTATTCTTTATTCATATAACCAAAATACACAAAAGACTGCTTTAAATCTAACTGAATGAAATGTTTTTCCATAAAATAATTTTTAGAGAAAAACTTTCCAGAGTTTCACAAAATACACTGACATCAAATACTTACAGTTCAAAACATGAATGCAGAAAATGGATGGGTTGACCTGGTCAACAAGTTTAAATACCCTTTGCGGTGGGTTTGCTGTAAAATTCAGTGAATAAATGGCTGCTTTTTGACTACAAAACTGGCTATCACCCCTGAAAATTAAAAATAATAACAAAGTTTTAAAGAAGAGATACACAGTCTTAGCAAAATTATTTTAAAACTGTCAGGTTCTTGTACTATACTATGTTAACAGCTACAGTTTATGAAACTGATGTTAGAAATAAATTCATTTTAATTTATTTGGTGTTAAAATGTTTGGTCTTTGAAACTTTTTCCTCTAAGAGAAAAAATTAAGATAACTATAATAACCTTTAAGGGATTCTTACCAAGTACAGAATATAGATCAGGGTATAATTTTAATGTAAATGAACCTGTAAACTCTGATCAAATAAATTATATGATTTTTTTATTCATTTATTCACATGTGCATACATTGTTTGGGCCATTTCTTCCCCCTGCACCCCCTTCTACCACCCATATGAAATTTTTTAGAGCTTCAATTGTTTACAAGTACCCAGAAATGATCCAAAATTTATCATCTTTAAAATAAATCCGGGGCTGGTGGAGTGGCTCAAGTTGTAGAGCGCCTACATAACAGGCCCTGAGTTCAAATCTCAGTACTGCCAAATAAAATAAATCTGTCTTCAAAGAACTGGGAGAAGCCAGGTGCCAGCTCACACCTGTAATCCTAACTACTCAAGAGACAGAGATCAGGAGGTTTGTGGTTCAAAGCCAGCCTGGGGAAATAGTTCCTGAGACCCTATCTTGAAAAGACCCATCACAAAAAAGGGTGGTGTAGGCCCTGAGTTCAAGCCTCAGCACTGCAAAAAAAGAATAATAATAATCATCAGGAGAAAATGTGATTTGAAGCAGACATAGATACAGTACGAAGCCAGAGCTCTGACAAAACCGGTCATATTTGGCCCAGCTTTAAGGCCTCTCTCCATTAATACATAATGCCTGAAAGTTCCCATATCATCAAATATGCTTTTGCAATGTTACACCAAATGGCTTTGTACACCAATTTGGTTACCCAATTCTCTGATGTTGGCTTAGATTGTTTCTAATTGTCCCCAATTGCATAGAAAGCTATAACGACATCCCCACAACCTTTATAAATGTCTCCAGTCATTTCCTTAGAATAAGTTCCCAGAAGTGGAGTTGCTGAGTCAAAAGGTAGGCACATTACTTAGAGCTTCTGCACATGGCCAGACCACCCTCCAGAAAGGTCACAGTCATCCTCACTAATACCACAGTAAGAGTGCCTACTCCCTGTTTTCTGGTTTTCTGGCCAAGACTAGATATAGGACAGCATTGGCCAAAGATGTCTTTGGGAAACTGAGAATACCAAGACTTAGCTGGAGCAGAGGACTTGAGGTGGGGTTAATGGTGGAAAATAGAATCTGAATCCAGGCTAATGGGTTTATAGGTTACCAAAGCTTCTGAAGGGTTTTTTGTGTGTGTGTATGTGTGTGTGGTACTGGAGTTTGAACTCAGGACCTCATACTTGCTAGGCAGGTGCTCTATCAATTGAGCCATACCACCAGCTCCTAAAGGGTTTTTAGCAAGTGAATGACACAAAGTCGAAAGCAAGAGAAATGGACAAACACAAGGGCAATGGTGAAGGAAGACTGTGAAATGGGGATCCTGACTGTCCCTCCAGTTAGTCAGCCCTCCAGTCCTGGGAAGCCGCTATCAGGTCCCATACTGCTCTCTGGTCCCACTGTCACAGTCTCCAGGGAAGGAGGGTAGCCACTGGTCTTTAACTGCAATAGTATCTTAACTGATTCTCTGCCACCAGGCTTGGCCTCTGAGACCCAGTGGCACTATCTCCTAAACCTGCAAAAGGTCAAAAGCTATCCTTCAGCTTCCCAAAGATTTCTGTGGGCCCCAAAATTACTGTGATATCAAAATAGAAAGAGACTTGGAACAGAACAAAGGGTTTGGACAATTTGTGAAAGGTTGGAGAAAGTAATAAAAAAAAGTAAAAGGCTTTAGAAAGGAATGGAACATCCAGATGATGGTGGCTCACAGCTGTAATCCTAGCTACTTGGGAGGCTAAGATCAGGAGGATCACAGTTTGAGGCCAGCCCAGGCAAATAGTTTTACAAGATCCCATCTCCAAAAGAACCAGAGCAAAATGGAGTAGAGATGTGGCTCAAGTAGTAGAGTGCCTACTATGTAAGCATGAAGCCCTGAGTTTAAACCCTAGTCCCACCAAAACCAAACCAAACAAAAAAAGAATGGAACAGGCAACTATCACTTCCTTTCTCTAAGATAGCTAGAGAGGGCTGGCAGAGTGGCTCAAGTGGTAGAGCACCTAGATATCCAGAGAGAAATTACAAAAGTTGGGATTAATTAACTGTACCTACTACTCCCACTCCAAGACTGGTGGAACAGGCCTTCTGGGTATTTGACAACCAAGACATGGAGACCAATGCTAAGGAGAATAACAGGGCTCAGAGGACAGTTGTTGTGTAGCAGGGAGGAGGAGAACAACACGGCAGGGAGATAAAACTTAGAGAATGTGAATGCGAGGAAGGTCACATATAGCACTGGGGGTGAAGTAGCCAACAGAGATGGATGCAACCACATATGGGTTAAGCCTTGCTTCCTGCTTCTATGACCTGCTTGCAAGGGTATATAAGGAAAAGCCCCTTTGTTCTTGGGGCTCAGCCTTTGGCTGGGAATCTGTTGAGCCACGCCCGGCACACTAATAAGCATTGCTTCTTGAAAAGCTTGGTGTCCCGTTTCTCTGCTCAAATATCCAGCAGCTTTTCTGGAGGCTCAGTCTGGGATTTGGAGACAGCACTTTCATCTCCTTGTCACCGGGACTCAGCATCCCCGGCTTGTCAGGAGAGCCATCCCCCAGGTGCCACCAGACCTGTTGATCTGAAGGAGGAACTCACCTCTCCCGACACACCAGAGAGCAAGTCTCAGTTGCAAAAAGGAACCCGGAGAAGGCTCAGGAACCAATTGGGAACACCGCCCACCAGACTGTTAAGAACCCAGGTTCAAATATTAGGCCTGCCCCTAAGTGGCAGAGGGGAAGCCTGATCACCTTCCAGAGTCACCCAAGTAACTTTGAGCAAAAGCGAAACCATGACTCCTGGGCACTGGGAGCTGAGCAAAAATGTTAGATGCCTGCATGTGAACGTGTGTGAATGAGACGTAGCTTGACTCTGAAGCAAGTTTGGAGTCCCTATCCATGGGTCTGTGGTGAACTTGCACAGTCTAGGGTGAGCCCTAACAGGGCCTCTAGTCCAGGGATTATATGGATTCACTATGGCTAAGAGATGCCTAAATCCCCGCAAGGGGAGTGGTTGGAGAAGGGGCACATACTGTTCCTCCCTGTGTTGGAGAAAAGGACCCCTTACCTCTCCTCCAAAACCTCTACCCCTCCGTTCCTGTCTTGACATCTGGTAACAAGAGGAAATGGATAGAAATCAGAATAAAAACACACCCTTGGAGTGTATGGTTAAAAACTTTAAAAAGGGATTTAATGGAGACTATGGAGTTAACTCCCAACAAGCTTAAGGCCCTTTGTGAAGTAGATTGGCCCGCTTTTGGTGTAGGGTGGCCCCCATAAGGGTCACTGGATAAAACTGTGGTTAATGAAGTTTATAGGGCAATTGTAGGGAATCCTGGGCACCCAGATCAGTTTCCCTATACTGATTGCTGGCAGAATGCTGTCTTCAGTCAGCCCACATGGCTAAGGCCCTATCTGGAAGAGGCTTGCAGGATTATGATAGCTAGGGTGGCCACAACTCCCAAGTGTAGGGAGAAAACAAAGGAGCCTATACTGGCCGAGGAACCTGAGGAAAAGCCACTAATTGCCCCATGATCCTGATGGGCAAGGACTTATTATGCAAACTGAGGGCACAGATAACTTTTGATTCAGATGGTATGGCAGCCTTAAAGTTGAGAGGAGCTGAGGCAAAGACACTAATCCTAATGATCACACAAGAAGGAATGGCAGCTCTATGCACCTGAGGAAAGGCCTCCTGAGATTCCTGAGCTTCCCTGCTTCAAGATTCCAGATGTACAGGCTGATCAGCACCCCCAGAAGTGGTGGAACTAAAGCTGGGACCCACCCCATCAACCAAAAACAGTACTTCTCATTCCCCACAAGGCCCAGGTCAAAAATACTTTGACAGACTCCTAAAATATGGGATCCTCCAACCTTGCCAGTCATCCCGGAACACCCCCTTATTACCAGACCAGAAACCGGTGACTGAGGATTTCAGGCCAGTTCAGGACCTCTGGGCAATAAATTCAGCAACTATCACTTTGCACCCTGTAGTCCCAAATCCATACACGCTTTTAGGCCTTGTCCCAGCTGAGGCAGTTTTTTACCTGCCTAGACCTTAAGGACACATTTTTCTGCATCTGCCTAGCCCCACAGAGCCAGCCTATTTTTGCTGTCCAGTGGGAGAATCCCAATAATGGAGAAAAGGGGCAACTAACCTGGACTTAGTTGCCACAAGGTTTCAAAAACTCCCCCACTGGAGCTGGTGGAGTGGCTCAAGTGGTAGAACACCTGCCTAGCAAGAGTGAGGCCCTGAGTTCAAACCCCAGAACCACCAAAAGAAATAAAAGAAATTAGAAATTTGGATTGTGTGTGTGAATTTCAATTAAAAACAAACAAAAAAAAAACTCCCCCACTGTCTTTGGAACTGCCTTGGCATCCAACCTCAAAGCTTTCTCAGCCAACCACATGGCTGCACAGTCCTTCAGTACATAGATGTACTGCTGGCTGGACCAACTCAGGAGGACTGTATGGATGGGATGCCTCCTTTCTCTTTTATGGGAGGCAGGATACAAAGTCTCTTGAAAAAAGTCTCAGATTTGCCAAAACACCATCAAAGACCTTGGCTTTCACCAGTTGCAGTGACAGCAAAGGCTTGGCCCCAAGAGGAAACAGTCTGTCTGTTCCATTCCAGCCCCCAAGACCCAGTGGCCAAGCAGAGAGTTTTTGGGAGCCACAGGTTTCTGCCGAATCTGGATCCCTAACCACTTTCTCTTGCCCAGACCCCTCCATGAAACCACAAAGCCGGGAGAACAGGAGCCCTTAGTATGGGAAGAGGAACCA